TCAAAAAGAAGCCTATAAAGAATACTACAGATATCCAGGCTAATTATATTATAAATACGAATAAAACGATTCGCCAGAAGGCTAGATAGGTTATATAAGGATTTAATTAACGATTAGGTGTTGATTTCCTAGAAACCTTCTCTACTACTACTAGAATAGAAACCTAGTATATAATATTAATTATCGCGATAAACAAAAAATAGTATATTAGGTAATACGACGTCAAAAACGTATTCGTACACGCCGATATCGGTAGTGATATATATACTATCTTACTAACTAGCCTATATAGGCTAGGAGACCCTATCTACTAAAATAAGTGCTACTACCTAAAGAAGGCCCTATATAGCCTAAAGCAAGCACTAAGGCTTTAGTCTAAATTCTTTACAAAGGCTATCGCGAACCTCGGATTCGATAGAGTTCCTATCGACGAGGGTATATATATAAATAGCAAAACCTAGGCTATTATTATTATATATATTAATAATATAATTATTATATATAAAGATCTAGCTTATATTAATAAGCTAGCTACTACGGCTAGGTAGTATATTTAATTAGAAGAGATAGGCGAACTAGCTACCTTCCTAGGTAATAATATCAGCCTAAATTATCAAGATCAATCGATAACTATCGATCAAAATAATTATATATCAAAGATCTTATCAAAATTCGCTACTACTAGTAGCAAACGGCTAAAGAAAACGCCTGGTAAAGCAGGGATCTACCTAAGAAAAAATTAATCAAAAGCTTCAGAGCAAACTATTAATCTCTATCAAAAAGAGATTAGCTTATTACTATATACCAGCCTAAAGACTAGGCCTAATATAGCCTATCTAGTTGCCTATTGCTCAAGATATATAAGCAATCCTAACTAATTATATATCTCTAAATTAAAGAAGATATAGCAATATCTATAATATTAGCTAAATCTAGGTCTATACTACGATTATATAAGGAAAGACCTATATATAAAAGGCTACTCTAATACTAATTAGTTAGGCGATATCGATAGTAGAAAATCTACTACTAGCTATATATTTAGCCTATCTAGAGATCTAGCTACTAATAATATAGTAAGCTAGAATTCGATGCTACAAAAATTAGTAGCTCTATCTACCTACGAGGCCGAATATATAGCTATACAAGAAGCTATACGGGAAGCTATCTATCTAGCTAACCTGTTTAACTATCTAAACTATAGATTAGGCCTAGGCTATACGCCTAGTAAGCCTACTATATTAGTAGATAATAAGGTAGCTATTAAGCTAGCCGAAAACCCTGAATTTCATAAAAGGACGAAGCATATTGATATATAATATCACTATATCAGAGATTAGGTTAAATAAGAAAGGGTCGATATTTAATACGTCCCTACTAAACTATAATTAGCAGATTTCCTAACAAAAAACGTTAGAAGAGAAATATTTAAAGACCTAAAGAATCTAGCTAACCTCCGAGAGATCGAGATTTAGGAAGATATATATCTAGCTATCTTATAGTAGTATATATATATATCGATCCTATCTACTCTATACTAATCTCTATACTCTACTACTATCTACACTATAGTATAAAGATTACGGGGGGGTATAAGATATTCGGTGTGAGATATAGGGCAAGATGCCTAAACCGTTATATAGTATATCAAGCCAGATTCATAAGGCCTATATAAGATAGCTGAATCTCTATAAGCTTTATGCTATACTATCATCACTACGGTTAATAACATCAAGTAAGACGTATATAATAGTATACGATCTACATCATCACTACGGTCAATGACATAATCTATATCATCAATATAGTTAATAATATCGTATAATCAAGCAACCACCGATCAAACAGCTACTATATAAGATCACTATGCATCTAGATCTGTCTGCATGAGATTATCATATATTATCTAGAACGATCACATGCAAGAGACAAGTTGATTATAAATATGCCCTGCTTTCTCTACCAAGATAATAATCATGTTCAATACATATAAGCAGATTCAATATAATCAACCAAGCTTCAGTCCTACCTTACTTTTCTCTTACCTTTATAATCCTAAGCCGAATTAAACTTATCCTTCCTATTTAATCAAGAGGAAGAAAGATTAATCGATCTTATTTAAATCATCTTTAATTTATCTTCCTCTTTACCAACCTGCGCAGCATCGCTTGCTCATAATAGGGTTAGTATATATTTAGTATATATAGAGCACCGGAAAAAACCTTACTTTTTGCCCGTTTATTCTACCCCGAGATTAAGAAAACCTTAGTTTATCCCTGAACTATCTTAAAAGCGAGATCTATTTCAAGATATCGTATACTCTAGAAAAGCTTAGCTTGTTCGTATATATAGTATATAATTAGATAATATTCCCGGTTCTCGTTAAAGAAATAGACTTCACGAATCTATTAATCATCTACATTTTTTGTTAGATCGAACTAGTATTCATGCTATACCCTAGCAAGACTTGTTCCTTCTAGATAGTACAGTAGTCTCTACTTATAAATTAAAGTAGTTACTCTATCCTTAATATATAAGCTCTTGTAGATATACTAAAGCGTAGAATCACTATATTAACGCAAGATCTTCGTAAAAAGAGGCAAAACTATTAATTTCCGTGTAGTTAATCCTAGGATATCCTACGTGTTGATTACCTCTATAATTTCCTGACTAATATTATATAGTAGCTTTATTAGTAGTAGTAGGGTATACGAATAAGATCCTCGATAAACGAGAAGGAAAAAGGGAAAACGGTCCTATAAGCAAGAGATATAAAAGTCAAACTTAATAGAGCAAGTACTCTATATTAGTTAACTAATACTATCTATATAAATTAAGTCTAGGATAGAATTAGTATATATTTAGTATATAGCTTATAAAACTTACTATAGTAGTAACGCCTAGCCGAATAATACTCCACAAAATAGTAATTCTTAGTTCTATACCTAGATATACGTAAGCTATCTTTATTATAAAGAAGCTTTAAAAACGCGGGGTCGATCCTTATAGTACTTCGTGATACGTTCTAATAGTAGTACTAACGCTAGGATCCGACCTACGCGTTAGGATATCTAATAAACGTGAACTACTTATAGTTAATATATATTTAGTATATTATAAAGATATAGATATACTCTATCTCTAAGCTATACTATTAGCTTTTAACCTCTATATATTTGCTTACTTAGTCTATAAGTATATAGCTCTTCTACGTCCTACGTTTAGAGAAATCCGAAGTAAAATCTATGTTTAGCGTAAGCTTAATAGAGGTTAAAGCTAGGGAGGGATATATCTTACTCTCTAGTTCGCTCCTGGATTTTATAGGTAATAGTATAATATACAGGCTTTATAGTAAGAGACTAAAGTTCACGGAAAAGTGTTAGTTTAACACGGTTATATCTTTCTAAAGGGGTGATAATATCAGGATAGGCTTAGTAGTAATATTGAATCCCTATATATTTAAAGGATCGATACTATAATCTTGACTCTTTGTCTTTAGAGTCTTTTTAGAGAAGTTTTATATAGATCTTCTTTACCGATCCGGTATATTTAGTCGAGAATTGAACCTAGGATTATTAGTTATATTATATATACTAGGGATATATTAGAGATATACTAGAAATATTTTAAACTTACTAATAATATAAGTTATAAAGTAACTTAGTTGATATTTGAAGAAGTATCTTCTCTATTTTCAAATGGATTTTTCGAGGCGTGAATAATATATAAAATAATATTATTAGCTATATCGGGATACTCTAGAAGAATAAGGTGCTCCTAGACTTCGTAGGCAACTATAGTATCTCTAGAGCTACCGCTTACTTTAGTCCCGTCTATTTCTATACCTGTTTAGCTTAGTTACGTTAGAGCGTTAGAACCTAAGGAGCTAATGTTTTCCTTATTATTCTTATAAGGATCGAGATTAGATGATTTATATATATTAATACAATCTTAGTACACTAAAGTTTTAGAGTCTGATCTTTGTCGCTGATTTAAAACATAAGTCTCGTATATAGTGTATATAAAAGGACTACTTACAGATAGAAGATTATAAAGAATTCGATTAATCTCTAATACAGCGCTAGTAGTAGATCGCGTAGAGATATCAACCTCAGAATTAAGTAAGTCAGGACTAGAATCCTCGAATAGTGATAGTGAGAACCAAGGCGCTGACATCTTGTGGAATTCGATACCTTATAATGACCTTGAAAAGGGGTAAATAAAAGTCCTTAAAAGAATGTTCGCATTAAAAAAATATTATGTAATATGGGGGTTTGGGCCCCGGTGAGATCCGGCACCTCGGCGTGGCCCAAAATTAGTCAGAATCTTTTGGGCCACGCTGAACTTTTTTTGGACCACGCTGAGCTGGGTGCCCGGGCTTGGGTCCCGGATCTCATCAGCTGGACCCAAAATTAGTCAGAACTTTTTGGGTCCCGTTGAACTTTTTTTGGGTCCCGCTGAGCTAGGTGCCCCCGCGGAAGAAAGCCCCAATCTTGTTTACCCCTAGCTTCTAATCCTCAACAATCGTGTCAACATTGCCCGACTACTGTAGGCTAAAGAATGTTCAACACCAAAATGACCTCGAATGTTCTTGATTTCCTCATGTATTAGAGTAGCCTTTTATATATAGGTCTTTCTCTATATAATCGTAGTATAGGCCTAGAGTCGGCCGATATTTGTCATCCTAGTAATGACCTGGATCGACTCCGCTACCTATTCTCCTGTGACCTCAACGGATACCAACGAGTCACCCACAGGGAATCTGGATAAAATCTCGGTCAATGATTGAGTGCGCGTTCAATCGATGTCAAGACTACGACTGTATAATAATTGCATTAAGCAATTAGAATTTTTAACGAGACCTAGCCTCCTTTTCAATACAGGCGCTAAAAAGTGATCTACTATTTTGCTCACATATTAGCAGAAAGATTGATCTCAAGCATCGGTGGATTGGCCCACACCGGCTCCCACGAGCCCCTGAAAATACCTTTCACCCACATTCATTTCTGATATTCTCCAATAATCATGCACACGGCTGTGGAAAGGAGAACCTCACAGATACTACTTCGGCGCCGGGAATCGGCGTCCTTGTCGAAGCTAACAGGCTCCACAGATCCGTCTGAAGATATATAATCCTGTAGACCAGAGACAACGGACTCGAAGATCTCTAACGTCCCGGCCATTTCAGGATCTATAGACCTTGTATATTTACCAGACAAAGCCCCGATTCTGAATGAGTGCGCCCACCATCTGACTGCTGCACAGGGTGGATTTTGGGAAGCTGCACAATAAGCTTCAAGTGGTTATGTTGTAGAAATATGCCGCTGTACACGGCATCGCTCTCGATATGAGTTCCTTTCCAATAAGAGTCCAATCCAGCATACTGAACATGGTAGCACCGTGTATCCTTGGACATAGGAGACATCCAGCTGAGATAAACGACCTCCTTGACGACACGAAGCGTCGGCACGTAAGAGTCGAGCGGAAGTGAAGTCTGTCGATAGTGTATCTCCGTCTTCGTTGTCATTTCTCTGTCTCTGTTCTGCCTGCGTTCTCTTGTTATTCACTTCTCGATGATGTTCTTTTCCCGATTTCCCCCACAGCCTCCACGGCCGGACACTGTATCCCTTGAGTGCCATGTCGCCTTTGGCCTCGGTGTCATCGTTGTACTCTGCCCGGACAACACCCCTCTGATCAATAACATCTGCCAGTTTCTCTGCAAACTGGAGCTTCCACCTGCTCTAGAACATCGAGTTGTGAAGTAGAAAAATCGGTGGCGCTTGTTTGGTTGTCCCACGTCGAAGCGTGCGCGGTGGGTTGTGGAAGGATACTAGGGCTGGTACACGAAATTCTCCTGGGTATTTTCTGCTTCTGCAGGCCCCTGCTTACAGTCGTTTGCTTTCACATCAGCAAGCACAAGGTCCCGAAGTCGGCTGGGTTATTGTCGTCATTATGTTTGAGAAGCTCATGCTTTTTCTCTTTCTTCTCTTTCGGTGGCTTTTTCGTAGCCAGGAGCGAAAAATGCGTCTCGCCTTCGTGGTAGACATAATATTTAAGGATATGGCGCAATGACTGTACTTCTTTGAAGTCACAGAGCTGGCCGACATGGTTTGGATAAGGTAACCACTATGGCTTGTCGTAGATTCTCCATATCCAAACTGCACTCTTGGAGAAAGGAGAACGAGATAATTTTTGGGCTGCTACCTTCGATGGCTCAGGATGGAATTGGCTTAAATAAAATACATTTTCTAATTACTTATGAGTAATACTGGAAAGTTCAACTTGCCCACACTTCATACGTTGCTCCGGGGGGCCATGCCTAAAAGGAAATTCTCAGAAATACGAGGTCCCACGACCTGGATGCAACTCTGAATTAAAAAGACTTTTGCGGGCTCTGCGTCCACTATATTGATGATCTAGGTAGCTTTCTGTATTGAGTATCATGTAGGAATTAAATGAGTTCAACTTATCATTGTATGTGAGTCCATCGCCCGTGGGACTCGAACCGCCGAGGTGTGCGTGATGTGCCTATGGTAGCTATGTACTCTACAGAGTCTACTGTACTGGTAACTCGGACTTTACTTGGGGGATCCGGGGAAAACAAACTATAGAAGAACATACTGTGCTGCGAGAAGAAAGAGGTTCAGATCGTAATACGGCCGGGCCACTGTACGCCGCACCTTAATCGTCCCAAAGTATCTAAGTTTTACGAGGTCCTTAACTGGTCCGATTTTGATTTTTGATAACGTCTCTGGGGTTGATGGGGGTAGCAGGGTCGAGTTAATTATTTCGACTCCTTGAAGCCTCTCGAGGTTTGTTGTTTTACAGCCTCTACTGGGCCAGACGAATAATCTGAGATTGTACTGTCTTCCTTAGGCCCGAAGAGAGGGTTCAATGTAAGATGTTTCTGGGTTCAGTTGTGGACGAGGTAGGTTGTAGAGTCTCATAATAGCGTTTTGTGCGCAATGGCGTGGACGACGATGGATTAGCCATACGTGCACCTCTACGTCTAGCGTTATCGTGGCTACTGCTCGAATTGCAGATAGAACACGAAGGAGCGCTGTCCGCTGCAGGGTACTAATTGCACAATACGTAGTAACTACATTTGGAATGACTAGCATAACATTCGCAAATTGGTGACTGTAAGTGGTGCGGCTCATTCCATAAGAAAGAGAGCTGTCTAGTCATCCCGTATGTCTATTAACGCGACAGTCAAGGGACAAACAAGGCTGGCCAATGGTTTTGAATTCCAAAATTTCTCGATTTACTCCAGGTGAACCTGAAGGACACCGTGAATCTGTAGTATTTTTCTTAATTGAACCTGAATGGTTAGCTGATCGCAAAGGCGTTGCCTCTATCCAGGCATGCGGTATCTCCTGTGAGCTACATCAAGAAAATTCTGATCTGGAAAGTCGGAGGCCAGGGTTCGTTTATTGATTAAAGGTTTTTTTTTTATCACTCAACAGTGTTTTTCGCCGCATTGGAAACCGGTTTGGGCCCAGTTTTCATTTGTAAGGATGGATAGACAGGTCACCTAACCCTCATCATTTCCAGTAGATCCCTTCGCCTCGATAAAAACTAGCTTCCATCACCTCAGTCGTCTCTTCACACGTATGCCCTTGTCTTGGTGTCTCTCGTAGATTTGAAATTTCAATCATCACCCACATACAAAAATTCTCTTCTCTCCATTCCATTCTGCCCGCTTTCAAATACCGAAAACTATGTGCTATTGGCTTCGAGTTGACATCCCCCCTTCGACTAATCAAATTGCGAGATAAAACTCCATATCTGGCCTGGAGTCCATGAGGCGCTTGCGCCCACATCAGTCGCCAAGGGCTCGTGTGGACCGTCAAATGCAATCCACCATACCGGATGACCGGTTGAGCACCCGGAATATACGGTTTTGATATGCGTTCCACTTCCCGCCGCAGGCTCTGGGGTGTTCTGCGCCGTACAGTGATTATCGGTCACGAAAGTGTCTCGAATCTGACGTCCCAGCGCGATAGGGAGAACCGAGTCAGAAACTCCATGCTGCGCATAGTACCCCACCGGCTGTGTGCCAGGGCTACACCCACTGAGATTTGCCCCAGACATGATGGCAACCCCCCGGAAGACGTCAGGACGAGCGCAGGCAAGCGCGTAAGACATTGATCCACCGTAACTCCATCCCATTGAATATATTTGGGTTTCATCGATGCAAAGGTCCGCTTGGAGCGTTTCCAGCATCTGGTCAGTGAAGGCGATATCGTCATCACCCGTGTTGGCCCAACCATTGTTCAGTCCCTGTGGAGCGACGAAAATGGCCCCATTGGTAGCCAGCGGCTGTACCCCGTAGTAGGATCCACCGGCAACATCCTGCATCGTCCCACCCAGCCAGTGGTAGCCAAAGATGAGTTTGTAGGGTCGGCTGCGGTCATATCCTTGAGGAAGTGCCAGGATATACTGGCGTTGGACGCCATTCACAGTTGCTGTATACGTTCCGCTGTTCAACGTCAGAGACTTACCGCATCCCGGGGAGAGGCTTGTTGAAGAAAGTTGAGAAGTGGTTGTAGAGGTCTCCGTCAGGATAAGTGTAGTCGTGGTCGTCATTAGAGTCGTTGCGCTGCTCACCATGCAGTTTCCTGGGAGGCATTGAGAGTACCAAGGATTTTGATAACTGCAGCATGCACCAGCTTCACACTGGGTTGCACCGTTCCAGCCAGTGCCACCACCTTGAATAATAGGTATGTCAGGAGTAGATCCATTATTGCTGCGCTCGGGGTCGATGTCTTACATTGGCCATAGAGGGTTTGCTGACTCAGGACAGTGAGAGCAAATCCAAGAACTATAATCCCCTTCATGTTTGCAAAGGTTTCCTTATGACTTGGTCGAATGCGCAACCTAATCTTGCGAAACACAGAAAGGGTTCAAGATACGTCTGTCTCTGCAAAATGGGCAAGATCTATGAGCTAACGACCTATGCTTCTCGCAAAGAGTTGAGGAGTATTTATATTTTCTCTCAACAAGGGCGTTTAGTGTCAAGTAGGCATCGCACTGAGCCAAGACCGTTGCAATGCTCACCTCTACCGGCTTCAAGAACGGCTAAAATGTCCCATCCGTTTCAGACAGCATGCCTGTCTGAATTTATCCAAACTTTGACTCCGCATCGTTGAACGGGACCCCGAGTTAAAGAAGCATCCGTATTGAGACAAAGTCCACTGAATGAATGGTACTCGAGATGTGAGACAAAAAGGAGATGCGCAAACGCTGTGTGGATATTAGGCAGCCATTCTAGGTTTCATTGCCATCTCCACCTCCTCGGCAATTATTGCAAAGAGAATTGCCGCGCAGAATCACTTGATGTTTCAAGAAAACGAATATCTGGTGCAGACCCTGGTAACCGTACAAGGGTCGGGGGCATTGCCTGATCAAGCCCGGACTTGCTCCGTACACGGGTCATTTCAGTCTTCTAGTCCGAAAATCAAGGAAAGTTGGGTCTCAGTTCACTAGCATCCAGAATCTGTAAAAAAGGGTGTTAGAGAGTGGAGGCCGAGCACGGGATCAAGCCCCTCAACTCTATGAGGTATACAAATAGCTGTCTATAGTCACCATGGAAAGGTTAATATCTTATATAAAGACTCCAAGAGAAAAGATGCTAAGGATGAAGGCTTTGGCATTGGATGAGCCATGTGGTAGGTAGTTGCACTGTTAAAACCATGACCCGAAGGAAGCGGTTTCTCGGCATTGTTTTATTGATCCTCTATAGGAATCTGCACCACCAACAAAAACAAGCAGTCTAACGCTCCAAGTACGAGCGTTGACCCTGCCCCGCACGATCTTGTGGGCCGAGCTAGTGGCTTCCTAGGAAGGTGAAGTACATACGTAAAGCCCCCAAAGTCATCGACAATACCCGAGAAGGCCTGCTTTTATCTTGGGTAGTATTCGTGCCCTTTTGGCCTACCCCCGCTTTCGTTTGTGGGGGGGGGGCCACTAATTCTATACGCTCACAAATCCTGCGCGCTTTTTGAAGATTCGCCTACGATCTGCTATTTCTACTACCTAATATACCTAAATCTGCCAGCTTTAACGAGTATCGCTTATAAGAGGCCTATAAAGCGGTTATAGCCTAAAATCTATATAGTAAATCATAGTATTTAGGTTCCTCTAGAACTTTAATATTATACTATAATTTTAGTAGGCTAGGTAGTCCAGTGGTAGAGACTACCTGGTAGTCCCTCTACCGATACGCCCCTATTAGTTGGGCATCCTAAACTCTGCCTAGTCAACTAATGGAGTTTAAACGCTAGAGGGTATAGGGTTCGAATCCCTAGGCCTATACTAACTTTACTCTAAGGCACTCTTGCTAAGAACCTGTCTACCACGGTAGTAGGTTCGTCTTACCTATAGTAACTAAGGATTAGTTACCTCTACGGCTAAAGAAAGAAGACGGATACTATATACGTGGATAGCGGAGCTAGAACTCTAGTATAAGGTTGCTACTAAGGTATACCCTAGGTCTCGGTAGTTTAATACGCTTAGGTACTATAGATTTACTTTCTAGGGCCGGATAGGAGAGGAGTAATTATTATAATAAGTAGAACGATATATCCTAAGAATAATAGCGAAAGGAGACTTAACCGACGAATATAGCTAGGGAGGAGCTTTTATATAACCGGGAGCTTACTATAATAATATTATACCTATAAGTATCGCTATCCACGATATTAGGTCGAGGCCTATAGTATAGGTAGTATTAGGGTACTTAGGACTAGTTAAGGTTAGTAAAGTATATCTAGATTCGGGTTAAGTATACTTAATACTATAAGAAAAAAAATCATATAGGGGTATCTAGCCCCCTAAGGTGTCCTGCCGGTAAATCAGGGAAAGCGGGATAGATCCGAGTATAAAATAATCAATCAATCAATTAATTAATCATCTATATTCTTAATTTTATTATCGTATAATATTTATTAGAGTATAGTAAGTTTTTGAAAATTCTAATATTTTTTTGATCGAGTCTTGGCTAAGATATATCTTATATAGAAACCTACTCTATAGTATATATATCTACTCTTCCTTTCCTAACTATAAAATTAATCCTCTTACTTAGTATTTCCCTTATATAATAACTTTATAAACTTAATAATCTAAAATATAGTGGTTATAATAGCAATCTAGGTGACGGTAAAACTGCCGCCTCGGGAAGTGATCGGCTCCCGGAGAACAAGGTGAGTTAGTCACCCCACCGCCCTGAGCGGCTCACGGAGCGGACATGAGCAGCTCCCTGAGCAACCTGATCGCTCACCTCAATGCTCAAGGAGAGACTGGCTGGCTTGTCTCCCGGAGAGCCGTTTCTGATCGTCCTTCCCGAATACCCACCTACTGTTGGGAACGAACGTCCCAATTGGCCCTGTTACTGCCTGGATGACCCGTATTGTAGACCAGGTGGTGTTGCCCTGGCTTCTGGGAGACTACGGCGCGGGGATTGAATGATTGAATGATTAATTGATAGTATCGTCACAGATATCATCGGCTTAGAAATAGGAGTAATCTAACTCAAAATGTATCGGATGTTCGCGAACACACTGTAAGGATATGGAATCAGGAAACTTATTAAGAGATATAACATGAGCGACTTTGATTGAGCCATCGTTAAAAACCTTGCTCTTCCCAGACTTTCCTAGCAATTTTATTCAAAATAGCGTCGTCAAGGCTGATGTTTGTTTCTTTCAGGATGCTCGGCGGGCGAAGAAAGAGCTTGTCGAAGCTGATAATAAGCGGCTGGCCCCCGAGGTAGAAATTATTGTTCTCGCCTTTGCTGATCGTAACGACTTGCTGACGTTTGACCCTATCGTTCACAAGTTCCCATAACTCTAGCACGATATAGGGCGAGCTCCGACTGATCTTGATTGTGATGACTATTTGAACATCGCCGTTGGATTCGGAAAGCCAGAACCGAGCATCGGATATCAATTTGCAAGGCGACTCTGAAAAGCCCGTTTCCACAACAACCGAGGGCCATTTCTTCGTTCGAGTTCGAGGAAGTCTGTTTGGCAAAAATTGGCAGTCGGGCTGTTTAGCGGAGCTATTTTCTGCTTTGCAAGTGGCGGATCCCAAGGTTTGAAGACAGTCATCGAGGCCTATTAGCTTAAGACAATCAAAGAAGAGCCTTTCGAATACGCGTGCCGCAATTTCATGAGCGCGTGAGACTGTCATTTTGACAAGGAGAAGATGTTGGGAAGAGTTGTAAGAATTCCAGCAACGCTGAAGTATACTATCGTCCGAGTTTAGGAAGTCGCGACTGAAGGCATGCTTATTAACCTTAGTGAAGAGCACCCATTCACTAGCCTCAAATTCCTCTTGCTGGCGACTCAGTTCCATCTTTACAGTTTCTAGAAACTGTTTAGTTCCCTTGTACGGATACCTTTTGATCGGGGGTCCTAGATCGCCGAGAAAGCTGCTGCTAGAGGTCTCGGTGTTTAGCTCAAACTTTGTGTTCGAGGACATGACGGCCGTAATCATACCGGCCCGTGTTAGTGTGAAAGAAGAAACATTCCCATATTGACTGCAGGCATTAAGAATCGTCCCCGAGGACCACCTGACGCTAATGTGACGTAGCCTTATTACGATCTTCGGCGCAATGGACATCTACGTGCAGGGCCAATAGAACCATGCTTCCCCAAAGGTAGCGAGTAGCCTGAGTCTTGGAGAATGAGAAAGGCTGAATATAGTCCACGTTTGACATGATATGGAAAAGTTCATGAGAAAAAAGTCCCAGGATGACATTCCGACTAAGATGATCAATCTAAGATCTTGTCACATCAAGCTGATACAGTATGGCATTGTATGCAAGAATGGGGCTAATCTACTAAGGAGAACCAACCCAAAAAAGATGAGTTGAATTAATTGAATCAAGTTGAAGAGACAAAAGGAGAGAGGGAGTGTGTAATGACACGTTGAGTGTTGTTTCTTACATAATAATTGGGGTCCGGGTTGAAAGTCCCGATTCTCGGAGTGTCGAGAGCCCCATAGTAGAAACAAAGAAATCACGACACAAATGAAACCGAACCATTTCAGGTGTATTTTATCACTCCACTTTTCTCGACAAGAATTTTCCGTAGCAATGCAAACAAGTCAAACATGAGAGCGGCGAGCTGTCACTTCTCTCTGTCACTCCCATGTCCAAGTGATAGTCAGGAGGGCTTACTCGGCACCAGACATTGCAAAAGTTGTTCGTAGATATCGGCCGGGAGTCACATGACTAGCATGGACCTACTGACGGAACAACAAGGAGCCCGTATGACTAAGAATGTAGCCCATGGAGCATTTTTAGTCTAGCGGTACTATGCCCTGTCTGTGTTCGACAGTTATGAGCCCGACTGTCGTTTCGCGCTATGCTTGCAGAGGAGGTCACAGGTTCGAACCCAGCCACAGTCCGGGTATGAAAGAGAACTAAGAAACGTTGCGATGAATCCGTGATGAATGAGAACCGTACACGATTGATCTTATTGAATCCACCCTTGAAGGCGGGAAAGAGTGACCCAACAGAAGCCGCAAAAATAGGAGTTTCCAGGATCCACCTCATATACACAGCACCCGACCACATATATTCGCTGAACCCTGAGGGGGTGTGACGGAACAACAAGGAGCCCGTATGACTAAGAATGTAGCCCATGGAGCATTTTTAGTCTAGCGGTATTATGCCCTATATTTGTGCGACACCTACTGGCCACTATTTAGATCTCTTCGCCCACCGGATCAATCA